GAGTGAGTGGAGGCGGGGCTAAGGTGCACATTCATAGAATTTCAAAGAAAAAACATTTAAATATGTCATTTTGGTGATCAAAGATGAGTTTTAAGGGATAAAACAGTTACTTTTTTAACTGTTTTTAAAAAAAGGTCTGCTGTAAGTGATCACTTGCCTACTAGCATGCAGTTTTATAACTTCTGTGCAATGTCTGAAAATTCCACCCAAAACCAGCGAAGTAAATGCCAAAAAATCCCTATGAGCCTGCCAGTAATGTCTGCTGTAACTTGTTTTGGATAAACTCATCCCTGCTCATTACTCACCCACTAGCATGCAGTGTTATAACACCTGTGCAATGTTTGAAAACTGTGATTTCTGGTAACATTCGTTGACCTTTTGCCTGTTTGTGGATCACTATCACTGCTTTGAGTTTAAAGGGCAAATAGGGGGAGGAAGCCCTTCTCGGAGCACTAAAGTCCTCTTGTTCATTGCACGCTTCTCCTTCACATTAGTGAAGCAGCCAGTTCCCGGCTGCCCATTAGCTGTGTGACAGATCTGTAATAAACACAGCCTGTCACCTCTGAAGCCTGCTGCACATTTCCTGGGTAATATATAACCACCCCCAATACACATTCCCTTCCCCCACCGCAAGGCTCAATAGACATGAAACCCGATTTCTGTCGAGCATCCCAGCAGCCGCTGAAGCAAGAAATTCCACCGCACCCAGATAGCCCTGGAAAATACATGAATATAAAAAAGGAGTCCATGAATAAATCAAAACGTCTTTTTACTTGAGAATGAAAAAAGGTTGTGGTGAAATGAAAGGGAAAAAAAGTGTAAAAACAAGGGCACTGCAGGGAGAAAAAGAAAAGGCGTTAACAGTAGAAGTTGAAGTCGATAATCTCATGGCCTCAGGCTACTATAGCCCCTTGGTAAGGTAGCTGGTGGGTGTGAGGTAACTGGTGGGTGATTTTACACACTTTTCTGCAACGATTGTGTGGGACAATCTGGCAGAATTCTGCGAATGGATTTAAATATGGTAAAAAAAAAAAGTGTTAAAGGAGTTGAGCGCACTCCGTAGCAAGATATCCATGTGCAGAACAGTATATCTCACTTTGGGTTTAGAGTCTGTGAAATAGTCCACGAGTTCCCAAATTGGTTAACTGACACAAACCAGTATTTTTAAATGATTCATTGAAAACACTAACACGCAAAAGTCATTTGCTTGTCAATTAAACAACACTGGTTGCACTGTATTGCACACCTACTTACAAACTTATTAATTGAATTTGAGAACTAAGGGGCTGTTTAAAAGACACCAATTTCAACTAAAAACGTAAAACTTTTTATGCGTTTTGGCCGTTCGTTAACGCGACAACACCGTTTTGGGTGCCTAAAAACGCAAAGTTTTGAAAACGGGTTTCAAAGTGCAAGTTTTGGAAAACGGTCTCCGTGTAAACAATAAAAACGCGAATCTCTGAAGACGATGACGTCATGCACATGCGTATTACGTGTTTAGTCAATTGTGTTTCATCGCCATCTAATGGTCTGGCAGCAGAATACAGCGTTTTTAGTCATTTTCGCGGATCCGAATGAATGGGGATCGTTTTGACAATGGTATCGTCTGTACGTGGAAAACTCAAAAGGAAAAACTTCTCCGTTTTAAGGATATCGTTGTCGTGTAAACGTACCCGAAGTTTTTAGTTTGCCCTTAAACAATATGGAAAAATTAAACAAACTGTGGTTAGTCGCTTTACACTCTGGTCGGAAAATCTCTTTCTGGTCTATGTGGATCGTTCTTGGCCAGAATAAGTTGGCAAGTGAAGCAGACATTCCCATAGTCAGAAGCCTGTTTATTACCAGTTGGTTAAAACAGACAAAATTGGTTTCCTTTCAAGAAATAAATAGATCATCTACTATAAATCCATCCCACAGCATTCTAGAAGCTGGGCTGCATATTAATAATGCATGCAGCTTCCAAGGCACACTTGTTTGGATATTGAAGCCGTATTGATTCGAATAAAGCAAGAAGAGAGAGACAACCTTTAGCCTTTAAAAGGCTGGCATGTAACAGAATCACTGATGTGAACTTGCAATATTCACACATGGCTGATGCCACTCATCAGGATATCTCTGTTAGCGCTGTGCAGCGAGGGTGACCTTCAGTGAGGAGATGAAATGACAGGATAAAAGATTCAGAAACCTCAGCACCCACACAGCTTTTAATACAGTTGTTTTAATCAGCGGACGGAAATTTTGTTGTAATGGAATGACAGAGTCCAAATTTGCCACATCTAAATGTCAGCAATTCCAGCAACAATGAGTGGTGGATGGATGGTTTTCTATTATGCAAGTCAGTTTTCTGTAATAGCTTTTTGTAATAGCAATCTTTTTTGATTGCTAATCCATTTACCATCCAGTCGTGATACAGACAAAGTCTTCATGTGCAGGACAAGAAGGGTGACACATTGACCCTAATGTTGGATAAACCTCGAAAGACATGGAAGAGGTAAAGGGCAGGACATCTCTGTGGTGACTTCTTACTCTTAACTGCCCTCCCAGCTTATCAGTCCATATCTCCTCCCCCATTCACCCAATGAGGAGTTCGTGGAGGTCGACTCTCTTGAGAGCTCTGGCAGCTTAGGAGAGAATGAAAATGAATAGGAAACGGTGGATAGACACAAGGTCAAAACGGATATAAAATTCTCCATTACGATATGAAAAGCTGGTGGAGAAAGAAGAGCGCATTGAACGTCAGAAGGAAGGATCGCTTTTGAGGGCCTGGCTTTGTGCTTCCTTTATGTGAAAACAAAAGAATCCGAACACTGAGTCACCAATGCTCTTGTAAAAGCAATCCCCCATGCTTGTCAGAGAAGCTTTCCACCCGAGAATTCACAAATTCAGTTATATTATGAATTGACCATTTTTATCTGAGAAGCTAAGCAGGTTGAACAGAAGAATGTGTACATGTGATTAAGGAGGAATTGCACGCAGATACTATCCAAGTGTGAAATGCTTCCAGTCTGTACTGTGAAATAACACCATTGATGACAGTTGAGCTGCTGTGAAGAATGACTGGGAATATGACATCAAACAACTATTCGTACTTCTCCGTTTCTTTCATCATATGTGACCCTGCCTGGACCACAAAACCAGTCGCAAGGGTACTTTTTTTGAAATTGACATTTATATATCATATGAAAGCTAAATAAATAAGCTTTCCAATGATGTATGGTTTTGTTAGGATAGGGCGATATTTGGCAGAGATACAACTATTTGAAAATATGGAATCTGAGGGTGCAAAAAAATCAAAATATTGAGAAAATTGCCTTTGAAGTTGTCCAAATGAAGTCCTCGATGTTGCAAAAATACATTTTTGATATATTTACGAAAGGAAATTTACAAAATATCTTAATGGAACATGATCTGTACTTAATATCCTAATGATTTTTGGCATAAAATAAAAAACGATAATTTTGATCCTTACAATGTATTGTTGGCTATTGCCACAAATATACCCGTGCGCCTTATGACTGGTTTTGTGGTTCAGGGTCACTCACATATAGGTTTTTTCATGATGTCTGGTGACAAAATGTGGGTCATGTGGCTGGAACAAGAGGTTCTATCATTCCCAGAAAAAAAGCTAACATTCATCAGTTAGCAATCCCATTCATCTCAATGGCAGCTTCTCAGCTGGTGTAGGACCTCCCAGAAGTACACTGCCATGAGGTGTTTTTGGCCGGTCAACAAAGCCGTAAATGCCATGTGACCTATCACTCTGGCTGATGGGACCACAAGAACATGCACAGACCCAAACCCTTCATCAGTGACTATCCTGAGCTGTGGAAAACCCAGGAAACGCCAAGGGGAAAGGAACAGCTGGAGTGCATTTGTCTTTTGTTCAGATCGACAATTGTTTGTTTCACTTTGTTTGAATATTTTTACATTAATCACCTGCTTTGATCTCCATAACCGTTACAACATTTTTTTCAAACGATTGACTATCAAATGGTAGTCCATTGACATAGTCCAGTACAATCTCCACAATATTACCATGGGTTTTCCAATGGATATTTTATCGTAATTAAATGTTTTTTAAAGTCATGCAAATCAAATATGCTCACATTACTATTGGAAATGCCTAAATGTGTGATTATTTGGACATCCACGATGTGAAAATCAAATGAACTAACACCTTGATCATAACCAAAGGGAACCAAGGCTAGATGATAGTAAAGATAACAATAAGCATTAATTGATAATATATACCAGTCCAACACATGAAAAGCAGCAGCTTGTGATTTCAAGGAAAATTTCACCATACGACATATTGCATGAAAAGAGGTGAAGTAATTATGTAATATTTTGAATATCACGCAACACCAGTTAAAGTAGAAGATGGTGTGTAAAATCACAGCTTTGTTGTAAAACTGCCTCAATGTCTACTGTGTAAAATGGGCTGAAATAGCTTTCCTCATTGCACACTCAAAAATGATATTAGCAAGTTAAGCTAATTATGATGATAATTATGCCTTTGCTTTATCTAACAACAATCTTTTTTTTTTTTCTTTTTTTTTTTAACCAAGCTTGGTACGATCTTCCATGGGATTGCCTTCTCTGTGAAGGATATACTGTACAGTGGATAAGATGCTTCTCAAAAACATTTGCTTTAAGATGTTTATTAATATTTGTGCTTTTTTTCCATTTGAGATTTTCATTACTTTTGCAAATATTGTATACTATAGATAATTGGATATAAATAAACATCTTAAAATGAATGTTTTTGTGAACCATCTAAAAGACAGTACAGAATGCAATGTTTTAATATTTGGTTAAAAAGTATCTTATTGGGGCAGCATAATGAATTTGCCTTATCTTCGTGTGTGTAGTGCCCTATATGATGCTTAAAATTGCTGCCTCCATAGACTGCTCATTAGACATGCATGTGTTTAAATGTGAGAGCGTAGAAAGGGTGAACGACTAGAGCCGGCACATGAAAAGAGGCAGGCAGGACTTACAAATCTTGTGTTTCCCTTTCATGGGAAATTTCACCACCATCTCCTGGGGGTTGGAGCAAATGAAGACAAATGGAGAAGTCGACTCCTCGCTGATCTTGGGATACTGAAAAGAGAGAGAGGAAACAATGAGCTGTGTTCAGCCACTTGGTTACCACGCACAGAAAGCAGGGCTGCTTTGAAAGGCTTCTCTTCCCCGTAATTGATAGGCAGCACACAGGAGAGGCGAAATTGACTGGCACTTTCATAAGAAAGGTGACATCTATCTAATCTGTCAAGGGAAGGCACAGGTCATCTTATTTCCTCCCGACCATCAGAGAGTCGTATGATTGTATCACGACATTCAAGAAGCACAAGCTTTTCACAACACTATTTCCCACCCCCACACTAAAAGCGGCAAAGAGAGCTTGACACAATCAGGGCTTTTAAGAGTGCTGCAGATATGAGGTCCCTCTGCATACTTGAGTCGTCTCGCAGGAGATGCGGATATATTCAGACACTGCAAGATTTGCTTACACTCGTGTGGTGATACGGTCACATATCTGATTGAAATGAAATGTTGCGTCAAGATCAGCAGATGAAAGGTTGACAAACAACACTAACATTAAAGTGTATAAGGTCAACTTGCTCAAATTTAGAAGTGCATACCTTAAATTAAATATTTTTAACATTTTTAATAACCAGTTTCGCAATCTAGACAAATGAAAGGACAAATATACCTTTTGTAGTTCATTTCAAAGGATATGAGTCCAACAAAACTCTACAACGCATCTGTCAACAAAACAGAAGCTGCCAAATTCTCCTCTATACGCCATCATGGACGGTTTGTGTAACATGCCAATATCATCATCATAAACCCATGAACAAAATCTAATATGTATAAAACAATTGTGATATTTTAGGATACTTGGGACTCCATATGGGTGTTCAAAAATATCTGTGTAAAATCTGGGTCCTTAAAGGGTTAGTTCACGCAAAAATGAAAATTCTGTCAGTAATTACTCGCCCTCATGTTGTTCCAACCCCGTAATGGTGTGTTCACACCGAACGCGAATAGAGCGTCAAATACGCGTCTAGTTAGACGTTTGAACATTTGCTCGAGTTCAAATTTTTCAACTTGCGCGGAAGACATTCGCGGCAAACGCGTCGCCCAATTCGCGTCATTCGCAACGCCTGGCGCGAATGATGCATCTATTCGCGTCTTTGCATCGACTTTGTATGTAATCTACTCGCGCAAATAATTAAATTCGCGTTCGGTGTGAACACACCATAAGACGTTCGTTCATCTTCGCAACACAAATTAAGATGTTTTTGATTAAATCTGAGAGCTGGATCACTCCTCCTCTTAGGCTTCTTAAGGGATTGAAACTGGCCGGCCCAAAAGTTATGAAAGACATCGTTAAAACAGTCCGAGTGACTGCAGTGGCAAGTTTTATCAAGCGACGAGAATACTTGTGCGCAAAAAACAAACAAAAATAACGACTTTATTCAACTATTCTTTTCCTTCCCTGTGGGTCGTGAGATTTCACGTAGTGTAACAGCGCAGCGCTTCTGTGTTGTATGTCACACGTAGGCTCACTATTGGCCGACGCTGGTCATGTGTGTGATGCGTGTGACGTACAACCAAGAAGTATATAAGTGACGTACAACCTTGCTTTTACGCAAAGCTTCTAGGTTGTATGTCACAAGCATCACACACATGACCAGCGTCGGCCAATAGTGAATAAAGCCGTTATTTTTGTTTGTTTTTTGCGCACAAAAAGTATTCTCGTCGCTTGATAAACTTAAGGTTGAGCCACTGTAGTCACTCGGACTATTTTAACGATGTCTTTAATAACTTTTGGGCCGGCCAGTTTCGATCCCTTAAGAAGCCTATGGAGGAGTGATCCAGCTCTCAGATTTAATCAAAAATATATTAATTTGTGTCCCGAAGATGAACGAAAGCCTTACGGGGTTGGAACAACATGAGGGCGAGTAATTCGAGGGCGAGTTTTCATTTTTGGGTGAACTAACCTTTTAAGCAAAACCATTACATACATTACGGAAACATAATACTTGGAATAACTGATCACATAAAACTGTACAGTGGCAAAATAAGAAGCAGCAGTAAATGCTGTGCAAAATAGAAAAAAATAGTGACAGCGTTCATAAATACGTGTCAGTGTTGTGGCTGCAAAATTTCCATCTAGACTCAAAGGTCAAGAAACAAAAGTCTTATTTTACAATACAATAAATGTGGGTTCACTGATCATTGTGGGTAGTGTCTCAAGTAGCAAAAGATGTTTGTTTAACTACATTTCTCATTAGTGAGCTCATAGAGAGAGATGCTATCTTTGTAGCTTCTCAGTAGCAAAGCTATTTTATTGATTAGTGCAACGGTCTCACATTATAATTGAATCTCGTGCCTCTTTTGGAGATTTCTTTGTTTGCTAAATAACGCATTAAAACTAATTAGAACACACAGAACCGGCTGCCTATTTATTCAATGAAGGAAAAAAAAAATACTGGGACTTGATTTGATCTATGTGGAACAGATTGAATTGAGAAAACAGGGTCGAATGAGAATTGGCAAGTTGGAATCGAAATAGTTTGCTGTTAGAATAAGTATCTGTTTGGCTATAAGTTATCATTGTCGAATAGCCTGCATGGCCTAAATGACATTAGCAGAAAAAGAAAGTAGTGTAAACTGACTGAGACTTTGTTATAATGTAATGTAATGGAGGAATGTTAATAAATCCACATGGATCAACACTACTTAATGTTATTGACACGTTAGAGTGACAAAGAAACATGCATGAATGCACAGTAAATATCAACCAAATTGGGTAACACTTTACTTGAAGGGGTGTGCATAAGACTGACATGACACCTTCATAATCATGACATGACACGTCATGAATATGAAGGAGGTTTTATGCATGTTTATGACAACTAAGTGTCATTCACCCAATTATGACATTTGTAATGCAAATATGACATTGTTTGAGATGTTTTTGTTATGACAACTTGACATTACTTAGACAACACAACCTGTCATAAATATGTCATAACATGACATAGCAGATTCATTATCAAACTTAAGAAACCACTTAGCTTTATGGGCTAACTACATTAAACTGTCAGGTGGTTTTGAGATTGGCTGTCATGAGGCCATTATAACATTTTAATGACAAATTCAATTTGTACCACTGTAGTTGAGGTCAAGAAAAATATTCATGACACTGTTATAATGCCTCATGACAGCCAATCTCAAAACCAACAACCTGACAGTTTAATGTAATGTAATAACCCATAAAGCTAAGTGTTTTTTTAAGTTTGATAATAAATCTGTTATGTCATGTTTATGACATATTTATGACAATTTATGTTGTCTTGGTAATGACAAGTTGTCCTTACCAAGACTCCGACAGGTTATGATGTATTGGTTTATGTCAAGTTGTCATAACAAAGACATCTCAAACAATGTCATATTTGCATTAAAAATGTCATAATTGAGCGAATGACACTTAATGGCAGTTGTCATAAACATGCATAAAACATGTGTCATGTAATGATTATGAAAGTGTCATGTCAGTCTTATGCACACCCCTTTAAGTAAAGTGTTACCCAAAATTGTTTTGCATGTGTCATTTACTACCTCTAGATAGTGTCATATGGCTGAAAAAGAACTATTGTCACATATATCATTATCATGAAATAAAACTACTCAATATTGTGAAATAAGATTTTTTTTTGTCATATCGCTCACCCTACAGAAAGTTGCTTCAGACAGAAGTTATTACACTTGATATTAACAATGTATGCACAGTCTTTTCTTGTTTTCTTTGGGAAAATGTGCACTGATAAATACTGCACAATAAGACCTGGAACATTTATTTAAGAAAGTAAATAGCTTCAATTTTGATTTCATGTTGAAAAGTCTCACAAAAACATGTTTTTAAAAGAACTTTAATGGAAGATAGAACTGCAGAGTTGAAAGATTAAGCGTGTGGGCTAAGACTCATTTAAAAAGGATGACAGATTGCATGATGGGCCGGTGGAGGACTACCGAACAAAAGATGAACAGCACTATTCCTTAATAGCTTTCTTGAATGCACTGCCTCTGTCTTTTTATTTGTTAGACAACCTTCATAAATCCTCTATATAAATCTTGAATTAAACAGTGAATAAAAGCAAGAGAAGAGGGAATTTGTTTGATATAAAGGAACTAATCTCAAATTCAAGCCAATGGCCTTAACAAAAAGAAGCCTATACACACACAATGGAGCGGATATATATGGCTAATGTTCAGAATCTAATCTTGATCAAAGAACGAACTCAAAAACGTTTCCCTTTCATCCTTCCATGGCTAATTAGGATTTAATGCTGCTGAACTGCACTGGCCAGTTCTCCCTTCCCCCCGCGTGACAGTTTCAATACCTGACTAATTGAAAAGGCATGTCAAATTCATAACCATCTACAGAATAAGGGCTTACATTCGAAAGCTTCAGTCGTATCGCTGAGATAAGATGCAATCTGAACATCAGCCATTACAGTAATATGGTGGATTAAAATATAACTTAAGCTAGATTGAAGCCATATGCTTCCCATCGCTACAGAAAATAATGTTGGATTGTTCTGTTTATCAAGTTTGTAATGAAGATCAGAAAATGCACATTTCCATTTTTGATTTCTAGGTTTCAAAGCAGAAATGTGAAGCATGTATTTTTATTGTTCAGTAAAATGTTTTTGTGTGAGCTGATAAGTTGTCCACTGGTTTAGGGGATGAACTTCTGGCTGAGCCAATTGCATATGCGTTTGTGGCTGCTGAAATGTGACAAATGGTGCCAATTTTGGGGAAACTTGTTTGGGTTGGAAACAGTCATTATATTTGCAATTCCAACATAACCCAACAGTTAACCCAAAAATAACAATTCTGACATCATTCACCAACCATTGTGAAGTCAATAGCCTTCTGATGCTATACGATAGCTTTGTGTCAGGAACCGACCGAAATTTTAAGTTGTTAACCATTGAAAATCTCTACATCCAAACCTGTGTCTTTTGGAGCGTTCTTGACCTTCATAGCTTTCCGAGTCGATTAAGGAATCATAATTTAATAGGTTA